AAAATCAAGAAATCAAGAACAAATAACGTTACAAGTGTTGCATGAGCCACCAAGCCTTGTAATAACCACAGGAGGCCCAAAGATCAGGACCAATGATTATGACAACAAAATATTTCCGGAATAAGGTGAAAAGAGTGACAGCAACATTAATCTTATGTTTTTATACGGTGACCCATAAGCAACATGCAGCAAGTCAGATAAGTTGCTGCAAACAAGAGACGAGTTGCTGCAGGATAGACGAGTTGCCGCTAATAAGAAATCATTGCAAGTTGCTGCTTTAAGGTGGCCCTTTATATTGCTGCGAGTTAGATGAGTTGCTACAAATTATGGAAAGGTCCTTTCACTGGATGTGAACTCCATTACACCATGAATATTTCACGTCCATTAAAAGAACCTTTCTAGCAATCCAAAGGTCCTTCACTGGATGTGAACTCCATTAGACCATGAGTAGTTCACATCCAGTGAAAGGACCTTTCTCGTAATCAAAAGGTCCTTTCACTGGATGTGAACTCCATTACACCATGACTATTTCACATCCAGTGAAAGGACCTTTCTCGTAATCAAAAGGTCCTTTTACTGGATGTGAACTCCATTGAGACCATGAATATTTCACGTCCATTTAAAGAATCTTTCTAGCAATCCAAAGGTCCTTTCACTGGATGTGAACTCCATTACGCAATGAATATTTCACATCCAGTGAAAGGACCTTTCTAGTAATCCAAAGGTCCTTTCACTGGATGTGAACTCCATTAGACCATGACTATTTCACATCCAGTGAAAGGACCTTTTGATTACGAGAAAGGTCCTTTCACTGGATGTGAACTCCATTACACCATGACTATTTCACATCTATTGAAAGGACCTTTCTAGTAATCCAAAGGTCCTTTCACTGGATGTGAACTCCATTACACCATGACTATTTCACATCCAGTAAAAGGACCTCCTTCTGGGTTGTCTGTCGCAGTTTCTAATAGAAAATAAGCTTACAATAGTGTCCTTTTGAGTGTTGTGATCTTTGTAAAAATCCGGCTATTCCGCACTCCTTCACACGCTTCAGAAGGACGCCTTATTTCGATGTGATATCTAATAGAAAATA